CCCCCCCCCAACAAATTCTCTGGCCCAAACTGTCACTAGTACTATGTGAAAACCTTCTCCGAGCACCTAGGTTTGAGTCCCAGCTATGCCAATGGCTCTGTGACCCTGGCTGAGTGACTGAATCTTCCTAAGCCTCAGTTTTCTTTCTGAGAAAGTGGTATTTCCCTTGATTCTGAGAAAGTGACCTCTTCTGAGAGATGATAACAGGCAACGCCACTCTGAATGGGATTTTCATTGGCTCTAAAATCCTATGAGGTACTGTTACCTCGTTTACAGATGAGAATAAAATAAAATAAAGTAACAGCTCATAGCACATGCCTAGGATATGGTGAGCATGAGCATTCCACGGTTGTCGGTTCTCAGGGTTTTGTTTTGTTTTTTTTTTTAAGGGTTTATATTTTTAGGGAAGTTTTAGAATTACAACAAAATTGAGAGGAAGGTACAGAGAGTTCCTATCTACCTCCTGTCCTACACGTAGAGCCCCTCGCCATTATCAACCCTCTCCACATTCGTTACAATTGATGAACTTACGTTGATGTATCATCATCACCCCAAGTCTGTAGTTTACATTATGGTTCATTCTTAATGTTGTACATTCTCTGGGTTTCGATAAATGTATAATAATACGTATTCACACCATCATGGTACCATACAGAATAGTTTCACTGTCCTAAAATTCCTCTGTACTCCCATCTACTTATTCTTCCTCCCCCCCCACCACCGGTATCCCCTGACACAATCACTGATCTGTTTATTATCTCCATTGTTTTGCCTTTTCCAAAAGGTCATGCAGTTAGAATCATACAGTATGTAACCTTTTTAGATTGGCTTCTTTCACTTAGAAATACACAATTACGATTTCTCAAGGTCTTTTCCTGTCTGGATAGTGCATTTCTTTCTGCTGCTGAATAATATTCCATTCCCCTGATGTACCACAGTTTATCTGTTCACCTACTGAAGGACATCGGGGTTGCTTCCAAGTTTTGGCAACTGTGAATAAAGCTGCTGTAGCCACCTGTGTGCAAATTTTTGTGCGGACTGAAGTTTCAAATCTTACAGGTGATACCAAGGGGCACTTGCTGGATCATACAGTAAGTGCTTAGGTTTTCAAATAAAGATGAACTGAGCAAAGCACATTTCCTTTTTCTCAATAGTCGTGGCTGTTAGTGATGAAATTCCTAGGTTCTCTGACCGCTCTACTTAATAAAAATCTTTCTCTGTGTTCAGAAAAAATTTAATAAGCTTCAACCATCTTTGGTAAGAAAACAGACATGTATCAAGAATGAGAAATGCATACTTGGATTCACTTTATAATCAAAAACTTGTCTGACATAGGAAGACTAAAAGTTCACTTTTTTTGGACGTGGTATTCATCAAATAATGACATAAATATATAATTGCATGCCGTGAAAAGTTTTATAAAGACAGAGGAGCTATGAGATGCTGTTAGACAAGGACCTGATCTCGTAGCAAAATACAGATTATTTCTCCTCAGCAAAATGTAGGGTTTCAGTGGAGCTACCTTACTTTATAAATTGTTATATGGAGAGCCTCAGATTTAATTACTTAGCATACACGATAAATAGGCAAACTAGTCCAAAGTATTCCTTCAGTGCCCATACGTTCTAAATCACGGGAGCTTGACCGTTGTGCCACTCCTACAAGATTTATCCTTGAGTCTTCTTTATTTCATATCCCACCCATTAGCAAATCACTGGCTAAATTTCCAGACCATTCCTCTTTCACCCAGTGCTATTAACCTGCACCAAGCCCATCATCTCTTGCCTGGACTACTGCACCAACCTCCTCATTAACCTGCCTGCTGCTGCACTAGCCCACTCTCAATTTTTTCTCTACACTGTCATCATAGGGGTCCTCTCATTATGTCACTCAGCTGAAAACTTTCCGGAGATTTCCATTTTACCAAAAGGAAAAGGTACAGTTCACAATCTGGCCCTCTCTCTTTCTTCCTCCTCAAAATACGCCGGGCCACATTCTGCCTCAGGGCCTTTGCACATGTTCCTTCCCTGTAGTTCTCTGCTTAAAAGTCACTTACTTAGGGAGGCCTTTCCCAGGGCATTCTAGGCAAGTAACGCTATGACACCTACAATTCCCCTCTCCCACGGGCACACAAGTACTATGTCCTTCCTCTCTTTTTTATTTTAGTTGGCGATACTTAACCTACCATTTGTCTCCTCTTCCCCACTAGAGTATAAACTCCATGAATGCAGGAACCCATACGTTCATTGCTCTGCCCCAGGGCCTAGCACAGTGCTTGGCCCATTAGGCGTTCGACACTTGTCCAGTGATTCCCACTCGCGTCCATGGTCCCAGAGACACCTGAACGGCTCGTCACCAAAGCTCCTCTCCCTATGCTCTTATAGGAATTTGGGAAACATTCTCAACAGAGCAGGAGACAACACTCAGCCCCAGGAGACAACACTCAGCCCCACAGCGAGGGACCTCAAATCTCCCATCTGTAGAAAGAAACAAAAGAGACGACAGATGAGCTGTTCGGAAGGCCCTAGCTGCTTGACGATTCTGCGACACCATCCGGCCTTGCTTGGGAGACTGAAGTTCAGTCTGGGAGAGAAGCAAGCAGGAGGCTGGACGCCAGCTTAGAAGGAATTGAGGGAGAGGAACGCCGTCCGGCCTGGTTAGAAACACGTGCTTATGCCTTCACCTCTTCCGTGTCTACAGGCCACAGCTTTTGAGCCTTTTCGTCTCCGGAGAGCGCCAAGGGTCTCCCGAGGGCCTCCGGAGGTCGCGCCGAGATGAACGGCGGCCAAGGGACCCCGGCGTCTATCTCAACAGGGACCCCACCCACGTTTTGGTTCGTTGCTAGCCGACTGTGCTCAGCCGGGGACAGCGGGAACATTCGGCTCAGAAACAGCACTTCGGTGTGGACCGGGCGTAGTGGAGAGGACTTGAACCCAACTGAGACGTCGTCGACTGATCACCTCCCGGAAGAACGGACGAGGCGCATCCATCATGGCTGCCGGCGACGGCGCAGCCAGAGGCAACCGAAAGAAAATGGCGCCGAGGCGCGCGGCCCGTGACGGCAGGCCCAGGCCGGCGGGGCCAGGGAGCCGGCAGCGCTGTTTGGGAGCGCCGGCCAGGGACCCTGAAGACCCTCCTGGGCTTAAGGCGCCTGAAGGCCCTGACACCTGGCGATTGCAATATGGAGGACAGTTATTGTCTCCGCAAAGCAACTTGCACAAGGAGGACGGGAGACCGTCCCGCGTTCGGAGCACGGCAAAATCCTCTATTCTCCAAACAGAATGCGTTACGCACACTGCGCATCTCCGCAATAGTGGGCCGGCTAACGACGCAAAGAATGTTACGTCGCACCGGAGGCTCTTCCCCTCACCCCACCCCACGTTCTAGTTCAGGTGGCGCGAGAACTCTACGCCCGCTTCGTACTTTCTTTTTCTTCTACTGAATGCAAAACGGGCTTGTCTGCGCAACTGACGTAAAGTGCTTCCAAGAATACCCTTAGGACTCCGCGAAGCCCTCGGGCCATTCCAAGACGCTGTTTACGTATCGTCTCCGACGTACGTAGCGTTAAGCTGGAGCAGTCTCAGCGCCGGCCGCCATTTTGTGCAGTCGCTGGGAAGGAAGGAGACGCCTAGACCGCGGCACTGCCGGGTTTGAGCGTAGCCAAACCTACCCACTGTTTTTATAACCCCGATTCTCTGTGTTTTGCTCCCGTCTCCGACGAGAGAGGCGGCGACGGTGGCGTCTGCGACGGGAGACAGCGCGTCGGAGCGAGAGAGCGCCGCGCCTGCCGCCGCCCCAACAGCGGAGGCGCCGCCGCCATCGGTCGTCACCAGACCGGAGCCGCAGGCCCTCCCGAGCCCGGCCATCCGTGCCCCGCTCCCAGATCTCTATCCGTTTGGGACCATGCGCGGAGGCGGCTTTGGGGACCGGGACCGGGACCGTGACCGTGGAGGGTAAGGGGGGAGGGGGAGAGGGAAGGCCTCGCGTGTGCGTGGGCCG